GACAATATGTCTGTGGAAGAGTAAACAGTCAAGCTATTTTGAAAGCAGTAGCGTGACAGGTTTTGCTCATAAAACCTCTAAAGAAGGGAGGGAAAGTGCGTTAATTAGCCATTTTGGAGGATAGCTACAGATAAACACTGTTATCGAGGACAATAGGCAGAAAATGGGAGCTAATATTTGTTGGGAAATGAGGAACTAATTCCATGGCCTGGGTCTGCAGAGATTCCAGAAAGAAGATAAGCCTGCTGTTATGAATAAGTTATGCCACTGTGTCTCTTCTTACCTCCTTAGGTTATGAAAAACAGGGGAGTGTAGAGATGGAGGCATCAGAGCAGAAGTGGTAGTACACAAATTATCTACTGTTTTTCTTGGCTGATAGCATGTACCCTGTTCACCAATTAGAAAGAGATAATAGGTCTATTTTGCACATGAGTGTGTTGTTTAAATCAGGCCCTGATATGCTGGAGATAAATTAAACTGCTCTGTGATAAAAATGGGGAGAACAACAACATCATTTTGTTGTTTGGTTAATTGGAATTAGCCATGGATTTCATGATTTGAGGTTGTGAGTTTGCTTTATGGATTTATAATTCATGTAATGCCTGGAGATGGAAGGATTTTATTGTGGTGGTTGACTTTTGTGACCATTGCTATTTCCTCGCAGATGTACCCGCTAGTCATTCCCCTCTCTCTGACACAAGGTCTTCTATTTTTAACAGAGCGACCTTTGCACCACAGTGAGAAGATTCTTGAGCAGGTGCTGGAGTGGAGTTCCTTGGACTGCCCGAGCTCTGCTTTTCTTGTTATTAAGAAGTTTGCAGGGGATAGAAGAGTGGCTGATGGGAAAGGTAAAGTATGCTACTCATGGCACAAAACCATAAAAAATGAATTTTTAGATGTTTTTTTCTTTGTTTTTTTTTATCCAAACATTACTTCAAAACCTGCAGATTTTCCAGTTTGCAGTGGTATACAAGTGTTGGAAAGCATAAAAAAGCATAAGACACAATAGGTAGTCAAACCATGACATTGAAAAGCCGAAAATGGCTCATTGTTGGTGTTTAGCTTCATAAATGATGCACTGTAATTAATCATTTATCAAAATCGATGTTGAATAAAGCATCGGTAGATAAGCTGACTAATCATTTCAGCACCAGTTCACTTTGTTTTAGAAAGCCTAAAGCAGTTTAGAAAAGGCGACTATTTGAAGTTCAGCGATGGATCCTCCAAACTACTGTCGGGACACAAATTCCAGGACAGATATGTTCTATTACGTGGAGAGACGCTGCTGCTCTACAGAGATATCAAAGCAAGTATACTTTTATTTTTGGCTTAATCTACTGCCATATCTAGTGTCAACACTTGCCACCTTGGGTTTTTTGCATGCAAACACAAAGTATCGTGTGAGCAGAGAGTGCCTTGTACCGCGGGGGAATTTAAAAGGTTACAGAACTGCTTGAGAAAACTAAAATGGATTAGAACGGAGCCTAACTGCAAGCAAACAGACCAAACTCTCCCTGCTTTATATCCGTGGCGACGTGTCTGTCTCGGGGTTCCCAGTCTTACATAGGAGAATAAAGCACAATGATAGCAGCAGCCTTCTCACTGTCTTTCAAGAAAGGAAGAGCACAGTGTGTGATTCAGAGAGGACCAGCAGGCCCGAGGTCCCTGGAGGGCTTTTCATCTCAGCACGTTTCTGTAGTTGAAACACGGGACCAGTAAGGCAGCATGAAGAAGTGTTAATAATTGATGGAGGTGCAGCAACTCTGGCAGTGGGAGGGGAAAATATTAGGGAAAAGAAAAATGGAGGGGTGCTGTTGTGTGTGAAGCTTTTCTAAATATCAGGTTGCACAAGAATGTGGTTAATTACTGTGTAAATCCAAAGAAAATTAGAAGTGTTATTGAAATTTATTTGATATTTTTCAGCCTCCTCCGTTCATGCCGGGTCTGTATTTAGTGCAAATTATGTTGGAAGAAGGAGCAGGGTGGGTGGTGGGTTGAGATAAAAAAGGGTCAGATGCTGTGTGGTTTGTTTTATTCTCTTCTACTTTGTTTTTTGTTCTTTGTGCAACTATGAAATGGCAGAGATTCTGTGTTGGCATTTATTTTATTTAGATTTATGTAGCTAACTTGAATTTAAAGAGTTTTCTTCATTTATTCATCCAAATGTCTTTTTTTTTTTCAGAGCACTAAAGCAGAGAAAGCGGTCCAGCTCAAGTCTGTGAAATGTTACCTTGGTTTGAAGAAAAAGCTCAAACCTCCAACCAGGTAGACTGTGCTTTATAAACCTCTAGTGTCTTTGCATACATGGCCTCTATCCTAACCCTGAATGTGTGTGAATGAGGGGAGATTTATAGCAGAACACGACCCAAAGTATCATCTCAGCAGCACATATTGCATTGCCCGATGTTTTCACTAATACTGTTGATACATTAGCCAAGACACAGTGAAATTTAAATCAAGAAATGTATTTGGAAACTTTAACTTCGCACTCTTTTACTTTGAGGCAAATACAGTATATAAGCAATAAAAGGTGTTACAAATACACTTTTAGCTCAAAATGAACTTAAACAGCTTCCTTAAACTAAACTCCATTTTAGCCATTACCGTCACATTCTCACCTTCACATGTGGAAGAAGCCAGTAAATGGACCATGAGTTATGGAAACATGCTGTTTCCATAACCAGTATTGAATGTGCATATATTTTTCCCATAGTGTAAAGAAAATAAGTAAAATGCATGTGTGTGTCAGCCCATAGTGTAAAGAAAATAAGTAAAATACATGTGTGTGTCAGACAATTTCTGCTGTAAATATACAAATGCTATCTGAATAACTGCCATATATGATTGGCTGCTTTAATCATAACGCAGAGGTTTGAAACTGGTATAAGCTGCAAAATGCCTGGAAAAAAGGATTTAGTCTTATAGCATATTTTGTTTTCAATTTATTTTAGAAAGGGGAGCTGCTGTAAAGTGCACTTTATGTGCATTTATTCATTGGCTGCAATTTTATGTGCTTCCATCACTGACAGGGTTTTCATTGTCATTTGGATATTTCTGAAATGTTGATAATAGGAAGAGACACAGTCGTATACTATGGCTCTCTTCCCTCCTCTGGTGGCTTGGTCTGTGTGCGGCCAATAAAACAACACTGCCACAAATTTTATACCTGCTTATCCTAGATGTTAAATTACAGACACAGCTGCCTCTGCCACAGTGGTCAATCAACAATTATGAGCCAGTTTTAGTGGCCATTAGTTTAAATTTCCAGTCCCTCCTTGCATATTTTATGGTGCAATAAATACTGCATTAAGCCAAACAATTTTTTTTTTTGTAATTTTTCCAACGTAAATCTTTGTTTCAGCTTCATAACAATGGTGACTCATGGTGACTCTCAACTACTGCACATTCTCAGCAAACCCTAGTATGTGTTATTAAGTGAACTACTGATAATTTACTATTGCAGCTGAGTGTGTTTCTTTAAGTTTGTGCATGCGTATGAGTTATTAGTCCCCAAAGATAGATTGTCCTTTATATTGCCTCAAAGTTCTGTGGCACCAGCAGAAACCCAAGACACTCCTGACCCTATCTTATTTTTCACTGAAATGAAATTCATTAGATGGAATTGCATTTTAACAAACACAAATTATCAAAATAAGTTCCTCCAGATACAAAACATTGTTGCCATGGTTTTATTTTAATGATCTTCAGTATAATTTATGACAAACAGAATGAAAAAAGCAAACTGCTGAGAAGTCAAACCCTATATTTCACATTATCCTGTTGTAATTCCTCATAATTTTACCCAGATCAGAATTTCAAGACTGAGGGAGCTTGAAAAATGAGTCCAGCAAGCAATTGTCTGCATTAGGTAGTCCTTCAGGGAAGAAAAAGTGGATAAGAGAGACAGAAGGAAAGCATGATACAGCATGGATTCACAGATTTACTGTTGAGTGGGTTATGGGAGAAAGTGATACAGTGAATAAAGAAATAAAGACAGAGTGCTGAGGAGAACGGAGAGACTCATAGTGAGAGGGTTAGGAGAGGCGACGCTCCAGTACCTCATTAGGCAGAGGTCTGTCTGTGAGTGGCCCACTGCAGGGTTGGATCGGTTGGCTTTAACTCACAGGAGTGTCGCTCCAGGCTCCAGCCTCTCCATCTCTGCCCCCTCTTTCACTTTGTTCTTCCCCTATTTCACTGCTCCTGTTCAGCCACAGCTGTGAAAGGTTTTGTATTCTTCAGGAAGGTGGTCTTATAACTTATACTGCCTCTGTGCAGTGTAATTCAATCAGACGCATAAATGCTTTTAATGTGAGCAGACGGTTACCTATTTTGCTTGTAGCGTCACACAATTAGCTGTATTCATATGTGATTATCTACTGTACTGTACATGCAGTAGGTGAGTTTGCCCACTGCATTTACAGATCGAGTATCTTTTGCATCTTTTGAATTGTGGGGGCAACTGTGGTTCAGTGGGTAGAGCAGTTGTCTCCCAACCGGAAGGTTAGGGTTCGACTCTCGGTGCCTGCAGTCCACATGTCGACGTGTCCTTGGGCAAGACGCTGAACCCCCAAGTTGCCCCCGATGGTTAGAGCCATTGATGTGTGTTGGCGTCGCAGATGGCTGCCTCGGTTCTGTACCGGAAACAAATTCCTGTGTAACATACTTGGCCAAATAAAGGTGGTTATCCTTATTATCTCTCCCAACAAAATGTACTTTAAGGTTTATAGGTGAGCAGCATGTACTTTATGTATTGTATACTTTGACCCAAAGCAAACCAAATTTTGCCCATGCATAAATGTGTGGGCTGGAACTGCACTGGTTAACTCAATAAATTCCCACAGGACCTGACCTTAGTTGTTTTATACCTCTTTGCATTTTAATGAAATGATAATGACTTGATGCCGTATTTAAAAATATCACCAAGATTTAGTTTTTGTTGTTTTATTGTTGGGTTAGATACTTTAAAATCCCAATTGCTGTTTCACAAAAACATATTTATAACCTCTGGCTCTAAATTAAATTAGTGTGCAGGACACTGTAAGCTTCAGTTTGTGAAAACAAAATCCCAAAATCTGACCCATGTCCTTCTCGTTTCAACAGCTGGGGCTTCACAGTCTACACTGATAAACATCAATGGTGAGTGGAGAAGTTCTCCAGTTCAATAATTGATGAGTGTGACTTTTACACGTTGTATTCAAAATATCTCTAAAACAGAAAGAATCTAGTGGCAGAGTTAATAATTTAAAGTGCGTTGTAGTGACCTATGTGGGTTAGTACTGAGAACATCAGTGAAGTGAAGAGCCTGCTGTCTGGTAGCCTGTTAGGAAGTGAATTATATACAGTAGTTTCACTCTTTAATGTAATTTCTATTTGTATTGAAGGCACGCGCTGCATTTACCGTCTGCAGATGAATCATTTTTGTCCTGTTTGTCCTGAAACTGAGCACTAAAGTCAATATTTGTATGTAGTCAAAGCATCTGCTGCTATATGTACCTGTATGGGATACTATTTATTTTTTCCATATGAACTTGCAGATGTACTGTATGTAGTATATAAATTCATATACTAGCAGTTTTTGGTCTACACTGATATATCTAATTTATTTGACCTGTTGTCACATGTTTAGTGCAAATTAACAAATATTAGCACGCTAACACACTAAAAATACTGTCAGTCAGCATTGCCCTTGTTTTTGTGTTGATGTTCACATTTAGCCTTTTTTCATATACTGTACTTTCTTGCTAATGATGTGACGCCGGTGTCAGGGCCACTTTTTAAAAAGTAATTATGTCTTTTAGATTTGAAGAAGAGCAGAAAACAGCTTGAGTATTGCTTGACAGATACTCAGTGCATGCCAAAGACAAAAGGACCTTGTTACATTGTCAGTTTTAGTCCATGTTATTTACTCACAAATTTGTCTTGGGAAGGTTTTAATAACAGCATACATTAGTACATTAGCAGACACCAGAAATAATGGCAACCATCCTGCCTCTTGTAAAGTCTGTTTGCAGCAGTCGGGGGAACTATGTCCATTGCTGTGGCTCACAAAATCCAGTCACCTGGTTAAAATAAGTGTGAAATAATGAGGTGGAAATCAGTGACTGATGTGAGTGAACTTTCCCTCCTCAGGCATTTCTGCTGTGAGAAGAGGGAGGAGCAGCTCGGCTGGGTGGCAGACATCATCTGGATGAAGGTACTAGGAGATGTGCAGTAGAGATGTTAGAACAAGAGTGAGTAATGCACTCGTGCAAAAACTTGATGAAGTGATTTAATGAGCAGACACTCATGCATGCAGTGACTTAGGTAGAGCAGGGGAAGTGTGTCTCCTTTCTCTAAAACAATTTACTGGTGTGTTGCAAACCAAAAATAACAGTTAGCATAGCGGCATACATATTGCAGACACAACTTCTTATTTGGATGAAAAATATACTCGGTTACAGTCATAATAAATCAGCTTTTACAATCCATATCTCAGAACAAGGAAATATGATAAAGCATATTTTCCACAATCATCCATTTCCATTGTACTGTTAGGCAGCTTTAAATACATAAACAGGGAAAGAATTGTAAAGTTTTCGAGGTCACTCAGCAATAACATAAATCATTTTATGTGGAAAAGCTATGAGAATAAGGTCAAAGCGACTGCAACAGCCACATTGTGGTACTTAACCCCCAGATACTGCTACATGTTGTCACTGTTTGCCGCTGACACAGCATTTATGACATTAATAATGCAAACCAAAGCAAACACAAGGGGAGAGCAGGCACAGATGTCATGTTTTTGTATTATTTTTCACTCTCATTCATTGCTGCTATCAACTTAGTGAATAACATCTTGTTTCCTCGATAGATTGAATATGCAAGTCTTGTCTCGCTCATTTCCAAGTAAATGACTATAACTTGAACATCACTGAAGATCAAAATAAGATTTCCCAGCGCTGCATTCGATACTCTGCACATTTCATCATTATTAAAGCCCTCTGTTCGACTTCCTTTATGGGAGCGTGTCTGCAGCACAGTGTTGTTTATCGCTGGTGCTTACTGTAAAAGCCTTTTAGAGCCTTAATGTGGGTTAGCAAGTAAAAAGGGCAGCATTGTCAAGGAGAGATTGCTCTAAAGGGGAAGCCAATTTTTGTCTGTTGTTTCTAAGTGTTTCAAGGTGTTTATTTCAGTGGGCTCTGTGACTTTTCTCTGCTCTTTGGAGAAGCTCTTAGCTCTCCAACAAATAAATCTATAGCAGACTGGAGCCAGCTAAAAATATTAGGATTCTTCTCCCAAATCCTCTAAATATCAGGATTGTCAGCTTCCCACACAGGGGCTTTTGGGAAGGACACACAACTTGTGGGAAGGGCAGAGAAAGTGCAGATGAGAAAGTAGATGGAGCACTTTGGTGTTCTTGATTTCCTTTCTCTTACCAGTTAGCGAGCATTGTGTTCCAACAGTTTCCATAGCAACTAGCGATGGAGGGCCTAATTGTGAAGCAAGGTGGAATGAGTAGTGGAGGTGGTGAGTGTTGGAGGCTTGGGAGAGGGTGTAAAGGTCCAAGGACGTGTCCTGGCTGTGATGAAATAAGGATTTGTTAAAGGAGAGACAGCTCTGTGGGTCTGGGGGGTCACAGTGATATAAATGAAGACATTGTTAAAGAGAAAGTTTAGCCAAGGATCAGAACACAGTCAGACGGCTATGATGGAAATTAGGATCGTCAACCCCTGACTTCCCTCTCAAGATTCCTGTGTGAATCTGCCCTTTATGGTAGTTACTTTGTAGTTATGATGAAGGGAACACAGAATAAAACCAAAGTACTGGTTACTTCGTGTTCCCCTGATCTACCATAATTCATATTGTGTGTCTGTGTTTAAGTGTAGAGATGTGTGTGTTAGTTGGACTTCTCTAAAGGCCAACTATAAACAGTACCTGTTTGAAAATGAAGAAAGGGAAAATAAAGGTAACAAATCAACGTGACCTGTCACAAGTATTTTTATGTATTTATTTCCTGGCTACTAATTCCGGCTATTGGCTGTGTGTCTTCAGTACGGTTCTGACCTCCGTTCAAAGAGCGTTTTGTCAAAGGAAGCTGCCGGTCCCAAATCCTCCAGAGGGGGAGCTGTGACAACAGAGGGCTGCATGAGTCTACCACGCACACACAAACAGGTGAGATTAGTGGCGACGCTAATATTTCTTTTTGGAGATCCTTTGTGATAAGATGTTTTTCATGTTAGTATGACTTATTTACATTTTATTACAAAATACCAAAACACTCCAATATAACAAAAGCCATCCACAGCTGTAACACACAAAAATACCCTATCATGTGTCCAGATCATCATGTTTAAATAGCGTTTTTAGACAGTGTGGATGCCTATTGTTCTAATAACGTACCAACTTATAACAAGCTATCAAATTGTGCTCCCTGGTTTATGTTTATAGGATTTTCTGATGATGCAGTTCAAGCAATGATCTGATCTGTTTATGTGGAAAAAAAATACCTGATTGATATGGCTAGGATATTCTGATAATGCAGATCAAGCTATCAAACAGTGCTGACCTGGAGACACGCGTCATCCCTCGACCCTTTTCTACACTTTATTTTTATTTTTTCCTTTGGCACATTTAAAATGTAATTGCCCCAGACAGCTGCTTAAATCAGGTAGATCACCTGGAAAAGGTTGGAAACTTTTTACTTGAGTTCTGATGGCCTTGACCGGTGACCGGCCGCTCACTCTGAGATTTCAGATTCTGTACCGATCAGATTTAGAACAGTCTAGGTTGTGCACCCAGTGGCAGAGGTCAGAAGTGTAGCATGTGCAGCTTTTCTCATGCACCTCAAGTGAGGCTCAGGCCCGTGTCTATACCAGGCACGCCTTCGCTTGCGCACTGGAAGCGCATTAGTGTACAAACATTGGGCACAGAGGAAGCTACAGAAACACCTGAGAGAAGGGAAGCTACATCAAAATCTCCAACAAATAGTTCACAATGAGGGAATTACTGGCTACATGTGAAATGCATGTATACGTACAGCGTATCCAATCTGTGGTAAAACACAGCAAATACACACTACACCCACTTTGAAAAGGAGGGTGCACACAGTAGGACTGATGTAACAGACATTCTTCTATTTCTAAGGCTACATGTGAAATGCATGTATACGTACAGCGTATCCAATCTGTGGTAAAACACAGCAAATACACACTACACCCACTTTGAAAAGGAGGGTGCACACAGTAGGACTGATGTAACAGACATTCTTCTATTTCTAATACCTGTTGCACCTGTTTATATTTGGAGAAGTATAAATGTTGAATGTCATGTGTAAAAAGAGAGACAAATGTAAAACTTCTAATGTTTTATTAAAGAAAAGTTACAAAAATGTCTGTGTATGCTGTCAGTTACAGTTCTTAGAGAATTAAAGAAAAATGAGAAAATTTAAATCGGCCAAAATCAGAATTGGCCAAGAAAATTGCAAGCAGTGCATTTCTAGAACTTTCTCATTACAGTGAAATTGTATTAACAATGTCACAGCAATATCCTGCCATAATTGCCACTTTGAGGTTGATGTGAGTTGACAAGATTCACCGAAGGTCTGATGATGCTATTCAGTTGTCATAATGATAAGAACCAGGATAACAAGGCCCTGGTTGAAGTTACTTTTTAAAGGTTATGTTTATTTGGAACATTGCTTGAAAATTTCAATAATTTAACTTTATATTTTCTATCCATCCATTATATATACCGCTTATCCTACATAGGGTCACGGGGGACTGGAACAAATCCCAGCTGACATTGAGTGAGAGGCGGGGTCCACCCTGGACAGGTCACTAGTCTATTACAGGGCTGACATGTAGACAAACACCCACACTCACTCCTAGGGGCAATTTAGAATCACCAGTCAACCTAAGCTAAGTCTTTGGCCTGTGGGAGGAAGTCAGAGTTCCCAGAGAAAACCCACTAAGGCACAGGGAGAACATGCAAACTCTGCACAGAAAGGCACCAGGTCAGCCCGGGCTCAAATCCGGAACCTTCTTGCTGTGAGGCGACAGTGCTAAGAACTGCACGTCTTTATATTTTACTCTTTAAAAATGTCAGTACTTTTGGTTCCTCAGTAATGTGTAGCCCAACCCTCCTTTATGAGCACTAGACAATCTCGTGCTAACATGAAAAATGTGACATAGTTGGTTTGTAGCTGACTTGAATTCAGTCTACTTCAAGTCATATTTGCTGCCATGTTTGCCCACAGCTGACAGACAAGAGATTTTCCCTTGGTGATGGCAACCTGAGGACCCCCAAAATCAACACCACGGCTACCTTCCCAAAACTCAACAACCTGCTCAAGGCACCAGAGATCCCACACAGAAGGTCCTCTGCTGATGCTGGCCAACCTCAACGTCGCCCTTCCCCTTCCCCGACCAGACACCCCATGGCTTCACCTGTTTCTACTCAGAGATGTCATAAGACCACCAGCAGGAAATCTGCTTTTGGTGGGGAGAGTTTGATGCCGCCAAATCTGCTGAATGAACTTAACTTTGTGCTGAACAAGACTGGTCGAAGTCAGGAGAGCAATGACTGACAGCAAGAGAAGCAGGAGAAAGAAAGATACTGCATATCAAGCAGTTAGACGAACATTACAGCCCACACATGGAGATGGAGTCATTTACTTTGATGAGAGGGGATCACAGCCTGAATCAGACTTTTGAACTAGAGATGCTGATGCACAAGATGTAGAAAACAGGTGCAGGAGACACTGGAGGTCAGTAGCACATATTGCTGACCCAGGAACCACAACACACAATTTTTATGCTACTCGTGTTGAACTCAAGAATGTTAAGTGAATTTGTTCAGCTGTCAAACCTCAGAAGTTTCCAGGAATACTCCAAGCTGCACGCTTCATGCTACTGCGTTTCCATTTACCTTGAAAAGGATGTTTTGTCTACATTTTAAAGACATTGTGGTTATTTATTTATTGTGCTATGTATTTCATCGTTTTTGCCTTTTGTTTAGCAGCACTTTTGCCGCAAATGCTGTATAATATAATTAAAATAAATGGCATGCTTTATATTTTTTACATCATTAGCAGTGGGGTCTGTCTTCAAACAAAAATTCAGAAGTTCGTAGGCATGAAAAACTACAGAGAAACTGATGCATTTCTAAAAGAGCAGGCTTGGTGCCTGCTAGCTGTTAATGCTAATACTATAGCTTCGTGTTTTCACAGAGATGTACTATTCCTGTAGCTGGTAGTAGTTTACACTCTTCTGTGTAATTATTTATTTGTATGTAATTGCTCATCTTATTTTGTAGCACTTAGCAGTGTATCTTTTAGCTGTATAGTTGTTTTTTAAGCATGTTGTTTTGTCCGAACACTGCATGCCACCAAATGTTATCTTAATGTGCAGTAAAATAGTTTAATAAACATTGTAAAATGTTTTAAGCTGCTGTTTTACTGACATTAACAATTAATTGCTTTGTTGTTTTTAATGTATAGCCAGGTACAGAAGTAACAATGAGTCAACGAACTACCCCAACCAAAATATGTATAAAATAAAGTTTTAAAAAATGTGAAATTTTAAAGTGTCCACTATTAAAATTGGCTTTGACCACAAGGTACCACAAGTGTAACCAGGCCCACTGAAATGGATAATCATCATCAACAACTTTATTTATGTAGCACATTTAACACAGCCGAAGCTGACCAAAGTGCTTAACACAATATCTACAACACCCCTTAAAAAAAACAACATAAACGAACAGCAAAACAAAAAC